TGACTCGATAATATATTCATAACGCTTGACACCTGACACGCTTGGGCTGGCCGTAAAGGTCGTATGCCATTTTTGGCTCGTCAGCCAGTTTACGGGCTTTAGCGGGATCGCCATGTCCTCGTCCTCAGTCCGACATCTTATACCACACATCACATATCTCATTTAGTCTATATAATATAACATAACTATCATGCCTTGACCATAGTATATAACCACATAATCTCAACTTAACATTTCATTCAACACTTCAGTTACTATTCCTAAACCCATCATACATGCTCATTAAGTCCGACTATTGCGTAATATGAATCCACAAATCCTAACTCTCACCTTAGCCACAAAGCTTTTGGAATCTCTGAAACTGTCCTTCCTTGATTGACTTTCCAACCTCTAACACCAATTCTCTTTTGACACATATTATAAGTCCATAAGATTTCTACCAATTTTCAGCTCATTCCGAGCTCTATAATTCAACTAACCAATTCAACTCAATACACTTGATCATCCAATAAAACTACATTTAATATACTTGGAAAGACGTGAATAAATAACAAACTAGCCGTCCATTCGAGAATCCGACCGTTCATTATGAATTCAATACTTCCATGAACAGATCCACAAAATTATAGCTCGATCGGTATACTTATGATCCTCCAAATGAACCTTTGAAGTTTTGCCCCAAACTGTTTATGGACCAACTTGAAATGCAATTTTTTGGTTTGCACATAACTTCAATTTGTAATCTGTCAACTCCAGTAGCTTCCTTGCATCACGATCTTCCCAGAGTCAACTTAAACGCAATCTAGCTCTCTCTGGTTCGCCGGAAAATGGACACACGAAACTCCTACTTGCTGTTGTTAAATTCTAGATTTTCATATAAGGTAAAATCTGATGATTCTTACACAACAAGCAAACTTCACCACGCCTAAGTATAACCTCGATAAATATGATTGAAACTTTCATGGCTTCAGCAACATGTCCTCTGTCAGAAACAACAATAGCCTTGACCATACATGCTTTATTGTGATTGAAATCATCCTCCAAAAATGGCAGCTTGAGACTCGGATTTAAGATCGGAGAAGCTAGACAACGAGCTCTTTCCAACATTTTTATCGTACTATAGTTTCTATGGATTTGGTCGGAAACCCTCCGCGAAGTCAGCTGGTCGTAGACTCACTCTGCAAAGATCAGTCTTACCCATAACTTTCAGTCCATGACTCTGAATGATAAAAAGATTTCGACTATAAATATATCAGTGAGTTGATTACTTACCCATAAAGTTTCGTTTGATTCCGATATGTTTTTACAGTCTGTTTCTCTTCTTCTTCGGAACGGAACA